AAAGTGTCTCTATCTCTTTTAATTTCGCTATACTGCATTAAGGATGAAAAAATTTTTGATGAATTTAATAAAAATTTTTATTTAATACAAAATTATGGGGCGCCAATCGGTTTTTGGGGCGCCAATCATTTTTAGCTAGTTAGTTTTTTGTATGGGGCGCCAATCAAAAGAATGCCCTAATAAAATATAAATGATCTTTAAGTAGTTAATAAATTTTTTAATTTTAAGAAAAAATTAATTTACTTAATTAAAAAACTCATATAACTTAATATTATGTAATAATTACAAATATTTTCAGATAAAAACTTTTATTAAATTAAAATTTACTTGGTTTGTGTTGTTAATTAATTTATTTAAAAATGACTTTTTAAACAAAAACTAATTAGTTATTTTAAATTCAGTAAAATATAAACTTTTATTAGTTTCTAGTTCAAAAATTAAATAATTTATAAATTCTAATCCTTTTAATATTTATTAAAAATTAGAAACAAAGTTATATTTAAATTTGTTATTTAACTTTATATTAACTATTTCGAGTTTTATATTTTTTAAAGTTTTCTAGTAGTTCATTGATTTATTTAAAATACAGAATTTTTAATAAATTTTTCTTAAATGTTTATCAACAAGTCATAAACATAATAATGTTAACAACTATAATTGTTAAACTTTATCAATTTTAACATTGTTAGCTTTCTCAAAAATAATAAATTTATTAATAAGTGTTTTTTAAAAAAAATTATTAAAAAACACTTATTAATAAATTTAGATCAAATCTTTTCTTATTTAAACACTCTAAATTTAAATATAATGATATATTTCATGTTTATCAATATTATTAAAAAATAGAACATTCTAAACTTTAAATTTTTAAATAAATAAATTAGTAACAAAAGATTATTTAAATGAAAGTAACCACTTTGTGATAAGATAAGACAATAAAAGTCTGTTTGAAGTAAAGACACTAACTATTACAAATGCAGTAGTTAGTATCACTACTAAGTATATTAAATGTTATTTTTATAACATCACAAATGAAACCAAAAGTAACACAGAAAGTTTATAAAAATTTGTTATTTTTTAAATTCGTTGTTTCTTTACCCCATGGCATTAAACAAAAATAACATTACATATATGACAACAACAAAAGATAAATTTGTTGTTGTATATGATACAACTGTTATAACTTATGATTTTAACTTAAAAGAATTGAATTGTTACAGTTGTGATTCTTATTCTGTCCCTTTCATAGCAAATTATGACACGGGAATTACATTAGAAATTTTAAATTTCTATCAAGATTATTATTAAATTATTCAATATCCTAATCAAGGTTTTATTAACCAATTTAGTATTAAAAGTCTGTTAGTGAATGATAAATTTATTGGCGTATTGAAATATATCAATGGAATTATTAACTTACAAAATATTGGAGAATATTTTGATAGAATTGGACCTTCAGTTGGTGTATTTAAAAATGACAGTGTTTATTTTTTTACAATAAAAGAAATAAACGATAGTTACAACAGTCATCAAGAGATTGTATTTAATGTTGTAAATTTAAATAATTTAAGTTTTAATTGCATCAATTGTCCAACTATAAATGATCCAATAGAGGAAGATGATTTATGTTTATTTAATCATAATGATAGAGTGATAGCAATAATAGGATGTGAGTTTTTTGAGTTTGATAAGGAATTTAAATATTTGTTTCAGCATACAAAGAAATTAAAAATTTCCTGTACAATTGAAATAAGAACTAACAATGAAATAATAACATTAATTTTTGAAAGAGATGGTAGTGTTTTTAAATTTATTAATAATTCTTTCTTCTTTTTAGAAAACATTGGTAAAGAAATTATTGGAGGATCTTCTATTGGTAACAGAGTGTTATGTTATAGTAGCACTAAATTAATTTTATTTAATCTTGAACACAATTCAATTAGAATTATTGAGTCTTTTATTCCTTTGTTACAAATTGAAGAAAATAATAATTAAAATTTTTTTAAAAATGAATGATACCAGCCGAAGGCTAGACGGCTGGTAGAAGATAATTTATTTGTTGATGATGATTCTGTCTCATCTGTTTTTGTGTTCTCTGTCTCTGTGTCAGTTATAGTCTTGTCTCTATCGTCTGTGTATTCACTTTTCATGGGTTAAAAGATTTTCACAAATTTAAATACCTTACTAACTAAATTAAGATGGAAACTTGTAGATATTTCCATACATAGTAAATAATCAATTATCCTATTCTTTAAATTACAGTACAGGAGTACTGCAGATACAAATTTATTTTTTTTTATTAATGATTAACTAAATTTTTTGATAAAAATAAAAACTTAAAAAAAAGTATAAATAATTTTAAGTTAAAAGAAAAGAGAAACAGTATTAATTTATTTAATTACTGTTATTAACCTCTGGTTTAGAAATACCATAGAAGGCTCTCTTCTCTTCAGAAGTCTGGAATCTACCTTTACCAATTTTAGATGAAGTATCAATAAACTTGATAGATGCTTCTTTCACAGATCTTGGATGAAGAGTCTTTCTTAATGTAATAGCTCTCTTACATGGACCAGTTACACACCCCTTAACCATAATGAAGTCATTCTTAACATAACCATACTTTACAAATCCACCTAGTGGGTTAACAGTTTTAACAGTTAAATCAAATTCTGTTTGTAAAGGTTCTAAACCATTTCCAATTGAATAAACTCTCAAATTTTGTTGAGTACGTCTATGACAACCCAACTGACCAGCTCTAGCTACTGAAAACATAACACCTGATGGATGCCATGGTCCAATACAAGCTACCTTTCTAGTACCCTTATTAGTCTTTCTAGGTAGAATAGTTACACCATACCTCTTAACAACACCTTGGAAACCTTTACCCTTAGTAACTCCCATAGTGTCAATCATCTCTCCCTTGTTAAATACATCTGAAATTGAAATTTCCTGTTCAAAACGTTCAAGTGCAAAATTAACCTTCTCTTGTATTGATCCACCATTTACTTGAATTTCTGTAATATGAGCTTTCTTAGTCTTAAGAGATTTAATCTTATCAGGCTGTGTATTACAAAGCATTCTAATTATTTCACTGGTGTTAACTAATTCTTCAATATCTTCTTCAGTAAATCCAGGTGATTTTCTCTTATCTTCATACTCTACATTCTTAACATACTTTTGAACAAACATTCTTCTAATGACATTTTCTTCTAAATTATCAGCAAGCAAAACTTTAGTTCTTTCAAGACCACTAATACCTCTTCTATATCCAACAATACCATGGCATACCATAGGAGGTGTTTCTAGAATAGTAACAGCATCAACAACTTCCTTGTTAATTACTTTGTTCTTGAATCTAACTTCCATTGAACGAACAACGTGTGTCATACCAGCCTTATAACTGACAAATCCAGTAAGATGGCATGGATTAGATTGATCATCCTTTGGATAAGCTCTTATTGACGATTTCATACTTTTAGCTCTTCTTTTTGGTACATATTGTAATGATCCGTGTCTTGGTGTATAAAATTTTCTACAGGACATATTTTTATGGGTGAAAAAAAAATTTTTATAAAAAATCATTAAAAAGATTTAATCTTCCTTTAAATTAGTTTCTAACCAATCAAAAACACCATTATTTCCATCTAAAGCCTTAAGACCATCATCAAATAATTTAGAAAGACCATAATAATCAGGATATTCAGTATAACTTAATGTTCTAACTTTAAACATGTAAGTATATAATTCTTTTGGACAATCTTTACAGAGGTCTTCTAAACTAGTCTCAGCTTTTAATTTAAAAATCTTTTCATAACGATCTTTTTTATTTTCAGCCTTCAAACCCTGCCATGGTAATCTACCTTTACAAAAGTATATTAACATAAATCCTAATGATTCTAAATCATCCCTTCTACTTTGTTCTTTTCCAGCATGTGTGTTTAAAGATGCATATCTTGCTGTACCTGTTAAACTCTTTCCCTCTTTATAAGGTCTGTGTTGTAAAGTAACTGGATTTCGATATTCTTTACAAAGTCCTAGATCAATCATATATATTATCTGATTTGTCTTATCTAACATAAAATTATCTGGTTTTATATCTCTGTGGATGAAACTTCCAAAATGTAACATTTCTATTCTATCAATACATTGCTTTGCAATCATAAAGATAGTTTTTGTAGTAAACTTTCTATCTAGTAATGTAAACATCTTTTCCAAGCTTTTACCCAATAATTCCATTGTCATACAATTAACTAACTCTTTATTATAACATATTTTCCCATACTTATATACCTGTGGGATTATACAGGTTGCTATTTCGATGTTAGATGTAGATAGAAGTAAATATAAATTATATTCGTGTAGTAACTGTTTAGATTCCTTCTTAGTTTCCAGTTTAATAGCTACTTCTTGGTTCAAATCTAAATCTAATGCCAAGAAAACTTCACCAAATGCACCCTTTCCTAATCTTCTTATTATTCTTATATTATCCATTGTAGATGTCATGCTTTAAATAATTTAGGGGAATTTTCTTTTAGAATTTTTGTATTGAAAATTTAATTAAAAAATTTAAAGAATAAGATTTTTATTTCTCTTCTTCTAACCACTCATATTTTGTGTGATCTTCAAAACCCATTCTTTTTAAAGCTTCTTTAAATAACCTTATGTAACCATCATAGTTTGGATAGTCGGTGAATTTTAACATTCTTACTGCTTCCATGTATTTAACCATTTCATTAGGACATTCTTCACATAATTCTTTTATTTTAATTTCCGATTTTATTTTAAAAATCTTTTCATATTTTTCTTTCCTTGTTTCTGCTTTTATTCCCTGCCATGGTAATCTACCTTTCCAAAAGTATATCAACATATATCCTAATGATTCTAAATCATCTCTCCTTCCTTGTTCACATCCAGCTGCTGTATTTACTGATGCATACCTAGCTGTACCTGTTAAATTCTTATCATTTCTAAATGAAATGTGTCTATTATGAAGTGAATCCCAAAACTTCTTACCAAGTCCTAAATCAATAATGTATATACTGTCTTCATTTCTATTTAACATAAAATTTTCTGGTTTAATATCCCTATGAAGAAAATTTCTTGAATGGAGCATTTTTATTTGTTCAATACATCGAATACCAATCATTAAAATAGTTGCATCAGAAAACCTTCTTTTTAAATTATTAAACTTTTTCTCAAGGCTCACTCCTAATAACTCCATAACCATACAATTGAGAAAATCATTATTAATTTGAATTCTTCCAAATTCATATATTTTTGGCATTATTGCTGGATTACGTTCATTATCTGTTGTCTGAACTAGGATGTATATATTGTATTCATGTAGTAATTGTCTAGAGGTGACTTTAGTTTCAATTTTACATGCTACTCTTCTATTATTCTTGACATCTTTTGCTATAAATATTGAACCAAATGCTCCTTTACCAACTTTTCTTATTAATTTTAAATGTTTCATTCCAATTGTCATTACCCTTATGTTACATATTTTTTATTTAAATTGATAAAGGGGTAGATGAATTATTTTTAAATTATTTTATTGATCACTCCTTTATAATTATCAAAATTAGTTAGTTAAGTTTATTTTATTGTTAAAAATTTTTTATAATTAGAGATTATTTACTTAATAAGAATAATTTGATTAAAAATATTTTTT